TTCCTTCATTCAAATTTCACGTAGAGTACGGTGGCAGGACAAAATTTTACAATTCCACACACCATGTATTAAATACCGTGCCATGTATTTGCACACGTCAATTCAAAGTCCTCGTTTGCCTCTACATGGAACAATAAAAGAGCAATTCTGTCGAATCTCGAGAAAATTCAGCAGCGTGACTTTGAAAATAGACTCTTGCAAGGAACTACGATGCTTTATCTCTCTCAGATATTACATACATCGAAAAGAACATTGTTTACAGATTTTGAAAATTTCAAGGTAGGTTCGATCCTATCAATCAAAGAATTTCCTCGTCCATATTTGTTATTTCTTGCGGGGGCAAATAATTTTAATCCTTTCCGAGGGTATGTTTTCAAAGTTATGCTCTTGAATTTTACTTGAGATTCGTTGAAATGGCACTTTTAATGATTCTTTGTTTAACATCTCTTCATCACGTTATGTACCATGTTGCGCTGCAGATTTCCTGTCATATTTTATATTTTCTAGGGAAAACTAGTCAGCGTGATTGATTGAAAACTACCTTGATTTTTCTTCTCCGTCAGCAAAATATTCGGTATGAATTTCAAGNCGATGAATACATATGGAGGGAAAGAAGGAGAAAAAGAAAAAGAAACAGGAAGAGGATGTAAGAAAAAAAGAGGAGAAAGGAAAGGGAAGAAGAAAAAGAAGAAATGAAAGAAGAGGAGGAAGAAAAGGAAAAATAAGAAAAAATAAGAAAAAATAAGAAAAAAGAAGAAAAAAGAAGAAAAAAGAAGAAAAAAGAAGAAAAAAGAAGAAAAAAGAAGAAAAAAGAAGAAAAAAGAAGAAGAGGGAGGAGAAGGAGAAGGAGAAGAAGAAGAAGAAGGAAAAAAAGAAAAAAAATTAGAAGAAAAAGAAAAGGAGATAAATGAGAGGAGGAAGGGAATGATAAAAAGAGGAGGCAGAGAAAGAATAGGAAAAATAAGAAGTAAAAGAGGACATCACATCATTGATACTTGTATGTCGTCAATGGATTTTATCGAGCTTTACTGTCGATGAATACACATGGAGAGAAAGAAGGAAAAAAAGAAGAAGAAACAAGAAGAGGATGTAAGAAAAAATGAGGAGAAAGGAAAATGAAGAAGAAAAAGAAGAGATGAAAGAAGAGGAGGAAGAAAAAGGAAAAATAAGAAAAAAGAAGAAGAAGGAGGAGAAGAAGAAGAAGAAGAAGGAAAAAAGAAAAAAATCAGAGGAAAAAGAAAAGGAGAAAAAAGAGAGGAGGAAGGGAATGATAAAAAGAGGAAGCAGAAAAAGAATAGGAAAAATAAGAAGTAAAAGAAGAAGAAAAAGAAGAAGAAAAAGAAGGAAGAGACCAAGAAAGAAAGTGCGAAGGGGGAGAAAAAGAAAGAAAGCGCGAAGAAAGAGAAGAAAGAAGATGACAAGGAAGGAGGAGAGGAAAGAGGATTGAAAGGTAAGGGAGAAGAAGAGAGAGTTGAGAAAGAAGAGGGAGGAAAATGAGAGGCAAAGAAGAAAGATGAGGAGGGTGAAGATGGAGTTATGTTGAAGACGAGGAAGAATAAAAAGAAGGGAGGGAAGGAAGGGGGATTGAATTTAGATTAAATGTATTTTTCCTTTTTCGTGACAAAGACATCATGTTCCTGTAAATTACGTTGGAATTTAAATGAGTGCAGAAAATTATAAAGAAGGGTAAGTATCGTTTAAAAGAATACGAAAGGAACCGACAAACAGTGCAAGTAGAGCTATTATGAGTAGTTGGGCATGAAATGTTTGAAGAAAACTGCAAGTTTTGATGTATAATTCGTCACGGTTCAAATTTTAAGGAACGCTGCTCAAAAGAAATTGTATAAGTGGAAATAGATGTAGTTTGTTTAACACTTCTTCGTTTAAAAGATTTGTGATTTCAAAACTTCGAAACCATGAACGGCTTCTTCCACTAACTCGCTCCCCTGGGATGTGTTTCAGCAACTAAGTCTGGGCCTTGTGTCGAGAAAAGCCTGATTTTTATTAAAATAGTACATGACAATTTCGAAGGAAGGAGAATTAAAAGAAAAAAGCAGATGATAAGTAGCGGAACAAGCAAAATAAGAAGGAGATAAGATGAATAATTTTGCTTTTTTTATGATTGGTTTTACTTAGGAATCGTCTATTAGAATGTGCTTAAGGAATGGGAATTCTAATACAAGAAATAAAGAAAAACCGCCATCCAAAATTTTTGGGAGAGGGAAAGGAATGAAGAATAAAAACAGAAGTTAAAGCTAAACCTAATTCTATGTTTATATCATAATTCAAAAATTACCTAAATGACCCTGCTCCCGGTAAAGATATTTTTGCTTATTTTAATCCGTTCATACAGCTTCAAGTGGTGCGTTATTGAAAAAGAGCTCGGTCAGCAACCTTGGCCGAAATTTTTAGCTCCGCGTCCTTTCACCCGACTTCGCAGAAAGTATTTCACCCAGACAAAATTCACTCTCCTTTTTGTGGAGTTAATGAATTCAGCAAGCAGCGATAAAGTGGAGAAAAGTGGTTCTAATTAGTCACAATAATGTCAGAGTCTATTTGAAGTCCGTAGAGTATTATTTTTCTTTCTTTCTTTTTTTCCGGAGGAGTTGGGGTAATGAGGTATGCACTATGCAGGTATGCGGACACTGTAACATTTTGGGTCCATTCTTATTTCAGTAGCGTCTGGCGGCACTCAGCCCTGGTAAAAATTGGCGATAGGAGCTGCGTTTCAAAATACCATAGGAGTTCTTATAGCCGACTGAAGAAGGCGATAGAAAATCATACATAGTTGGCTGTAAAAAGTGGAAAAAAATCATACGGCCGGGCTACACAAAGCGATAAAAAATTATACAGCCGGGCTATAGTTCCTATCGCCGCGCTTTACACTTTATCGCCTGGCTGTTGCTTTTCCGCCATCGGCTATATAAAAGGCTATGAGAAATTGTGTAGAAATTCGTGTGCTTTGTAAATCCTTAAGTTTGTACGGAATCATTTTAATATTTACAAAACGCACATTATTTTTTTTCATCAAAATGAGAATAATCCATACAGAGTGTGCAAACATTTCAAAGTCATGAGTTGAAAAACGCTGACCCCACGAGCTTAACACAAAGCGGAGCGGCGCGGCGGAGCACTGGCGCCTACAAACCTAACAGGGATACTTCACGCATTGCGCAATGCGTGAAGTATCCCTCTTAGGTTTGTAGGCGCCAATGCGCGTTTCGCGCTGGCTGCCCGCCCGCCGCGCCGCGCCGCGCCGCGCCGCAGAGTACCACGGCGCTTGAAGCAACTATTTCACACCAGAGGTATTGCACAGTATCATACGAAATTGAAGGCGCTCCAACATATTAGGAATGGCAGGCATCCTTCAAAAGTACGGTGCTTTCCTCGCAAAATAAACCAAGATACCACGGCCCAAAAAGAGAGCGGTAGCTCAAAAACTCACTAAGTCCTAGCATCCGTAATTAGTAACGTTTGGCATACACTTTGTCGCCAGGCTGTTGCTTAATCGCCATCGGCTATAAAAGGCTATAAGAAATTGTGCTGCCGGCTGTAGAAGCTATTGGAAATCTTACAGCCGGCTGTAGGTCTATGGTATTTTGAAACACAGATTTAACTGCCAATTTTTACCAGGGAGAGCTAAAATGGCGCAGCATTTCGAACGCGTAATCGATTAAGAGATCAAGAATGCCCTTAAATGGACCTCTGGGTAGGATATGAAATTGAGTGTTTATTATTTAAATGTTCCTTCATTCAAATTTCACGTAGAGTACGGTGGTAGGACAAAATTTCACAATTCCACACGCCCTGTATTAAATACCGTGCCATGTATTTGCACACGTCAATTCAAAGTCCTCGTTTACCTCTACATGGAACAATAAAAGAGCAATTCTGTCGAATCTCGAGAAAATTCAGCAGCGTGACTTTGAAAATAGACTCTTGCAAGGAACTACGATGCTTTATCTCTCTCAGATATTACATACATCGAAAAGAACATTGTTTACAGATTTTGAAAGTTTCAAGGTAGTTTGATCCTATCAATCAAAGAATTTCCTCGTCCATATTTGTTATTTCTTGCGGGGGCAAATCATTTTAATCCTTTCCGAGGGTATGTTTCCAAAGTTATACTCTTGAATTTTACTTGAGATTCGTTGAAATGGCACTTTTAATGATTCTTTGTTTAACATCTCTTCATCACGTTATGTACCATGTTGCGCTGCAGATTTCCTGTCATATTTTATATTTTCTAGGGAAAACTAGTCAGCGTGATTGATTGAAAACTACCTTGATTTTTCTTCTCCGTCAGCAAAATATTCGGTATGAATTTCAAGCTATTAAGTTTACTTGCTTGTTTCTCTTCAAAAAAATTAACTAGGAGCGGAATTTCTGAAACCCTGCGATGGAGATACGAGGTTTAGTACTTTACCCATCGACATGGAACCTCATGACGACTTTGTATACGGCGTTTAGACCATATTATAGCGTCCGGATCCCACTTTCAAACTGGGGCTCTCAAACTGGCACCGATTCTTCTATTTCTCAGCCATTTCTGCACGGAATTCCTTGACAATTTCAAGATCCGATCTGTAATATATCCCGAACACATCGGGTACCTTAAAAGATCGTCGGTCCGACGATCTCTTGCCGCAATCACACGCTGAATATGGCTGGAATGTAGAAGTCATCGGCCCGATGCCTAAATTTTGCGCGTGACGCGCAAAATTCAGCAATGATTCTCAGCAACCATCGGACTAATGTTGGATTGGTCTGGAACTATTCGAGTAGATTTGATACACATTTGGATGAAAATAACTCGAATTTGCTAAATTTCAACCGTTGGGCGATGACTGTTGACTTCCACATTCAGCTGCTAAATTCAGCGTGTGATTGCGGCATTTGAAAGGCAACAGTCAACAGTTCCATCGATGAGCCTCTTTGAAGCCCGTAGTTTGAAGGTGGGCTGGACGCTTCAGAGAGCGGAAAAGTTTAGGAGTAAATACCTGATCCATCCAAAGTTCCGTAGGAAGCCGTGGTGTCCTCCACGTACGAATTACTGGCCAAACTGACGTCATCTCCGTTGGAGGCGTTGGAAGAGGATGAGTTGAAGGGTCGTGATTGGTCGGAACTTGCTCCTTGGTTACTATGGTTACTAGAAATGGTCGACGAAATCATGTCTGGGGGCGGCGGCGGTGGTGGGGGTGGACACATCCCTCCTGGCTCGGAAACGACCCTTTTCAAAGCTCTGGAACGAGGAAAATTACACATCGTAGTTTAAGCACACGATATGAAACAAACATGATCAGCAACAAACATGATCTCGTGCAAATATCAGCAAAAATGTTTGAGAAAAATCGCGAAGGAGCATTCTTCTGCTGTGATAGCAAAGAGAGCGGTAAGTGCAAAATTTTCGAAATCGAGTTTTCTTCAAAATTCGTCTAAACTCTTTTAGATGAAATTACTGAGATAGCTAAAACAGCAAAATCCATCCTGAGTTAATGAAAACGAGACGTATGTAAAAGCCGTAAGTGCACAAAAAATGACACAGTTTTTTTTCAAGACAGCCGTAGATGCATGAGAGCTAATGAGAACAGTGCTTTCCAGTAAATGGCCGCCCTTTTCTGCCAATTTCTAACCTGAAAATGTGTTTGATGTGCGTCCAAAACGCAACCACAAAAGCATGCAGAAGATAGCACTTACGGCTGTCTTGCCTAACAATAACCTAGCATGAAAATGAAAAATACCCTTTTTATGTAATGGAAATAAAATCAGTATATTTTTATTCATCCATACGATTTCTAGGAGTTTTCCGGACGATTAGTGGCAATTTGACAAAGAACGGAGGCTTCTTTCAATAAAATGATCTTGTCAGAAGCTTCTGAGCCCGTTTTCTCAAAACTTCATTTTTGCACTTACGGCTCTCTTCGCTATCACGGCAGTCTTGTAAAAAATCAAATTATTTGAGTCAATTTTAAAATCTTGGAACGGAACTAAGTTCCCTCGTCCGGAAAACGACAGATTATGTGTGTAGCTTGTTGTATGAAAAAGAACTGAAACGCCTTCACTTCATATACTTTTCACCTAGAAAAAAATCACGAAGAAAAAGCAAATACTTTGGTGAGAAAATGTAGCTTTACCTGTTATTTTGATTATTATGGGGTAAAGTGAAACAATGTGTCCTAGAAAGTCGCTCGTGTTTGCATTTCTCGTTTTCCTCTTCTGAGTGTCCTAAGTCAGAGGGAGAACCACTTGACACGCCAGATTCTGAAAAAAAGCACAAATGAAGGTGACTTGTCAAGTTTGAAAGTTTATGCTCTCCCACGATCTAAAATAACAACTATCAATGACATAAATTTTGCTCTCTCAAAGGAAAGGTAAGGTTGTGATATGTACCTACTTCAATCGCCAATTTTAATCAGGCATTCAAATATTCCCATTCTTGAAGTGTCATTTAAAATTCTGGTCTCAAACACAATTTATGAAATTATCAGCATGTAAGTCGTCGTTTCAGTGTACCTTTGATGGAACTGCTTGCCAATAAAACCATTTCATCGGTCTCCTATTCCCTCACGATAGCGTGATGATAATCGACAACAGTTGAGTTCATGCGTGTTGCAGCTTCTCAATTTGAAGGAAAATCAAACTTGAGCTTGGTGTTGCTTATGCAGAGTCTACGTCTGCCTATTTTAATGTAGTAGAACATTTATTGTTTCTATGTTCACATTCAGACTAACCATTTGAAACTGGTATTTTATGAGGTAAACTTCAATGACGGCAGGTACTTGAAAATAGAGGGGTGGGGGATCGAGGGATTTCATTGCAGCATAGAAATAAAATTTTCGTCGGAAACACAAGACAGATCCGTCAAAAGACGTTACCTCACCCCTCCTGCGTCCAATAACTGCATAGAGAAGTGATAATGGAGATGTTGCAAGTGTGAGGTATTTGCGATTTGACTATTAATTCTTTTGTAGAAGTTTGCGAGAAACACGATGGTGCCACTGGTTTTCTCTGAAATCAACTCTTAAGCTCAAAAAAAGCTCTCAAGTTGAGGGCAAAATGGAGGGGATATCCCACGCTATCCTGAAATTCCACGTCTACATCAAGACAAACTCTCTATGCAAAGATAGGGAGCAAATACATTGACAGGGCTGCCACTTTATTTGGGGACTCTAAAACTGAATACACGGAATCACTGCTAATGGATTTGCTCCCTACCTTTGCATGGAGAGTGTGTCTTAATGTAGACGTGGACTCTCAGAATAGCGTGAGATATCCCCTCCGTTTTGGCCTCAACTTGAGAGCTTTTTTTTGAGCTTGGGAGTTGATTTCAGAGAAAACCAGCCGAGAAGCCAGATAAAGGCTCTACGATTTTTCCTGTGTACGATAATTCCGCGATGGCGTCGGCGTACCGCGGTGCTTCGAGCTACTATTTTGCCACGAAGGTATTGCATAGTATCATGCGAGATTGAAGGCACTCCAACGTATCATGATTGATGGGATCTTTCAAAAGCACCACGTTCCCTGGCAAATTAAATCAAGTGACGACGACCAAAAAAGAGCGGTAGTCGAAAAACTTACCAAGTCCTAGCATCTGTAGGTATTCAATATAACGTTTCGCATAATTTTTGAACTTCATCAGAGGAAAAAGTGACTTGATTCAAGCAGAAATATGCTTAAATTTATATCGCCGAGAACATTCTCTTATGAATCAATAAAGAAAATAACGCTTGATTAAGGAAGAAAAGATGCTCATATAAAAAAAAAGTCACCTACAGCAAGCAGAAACCCGCTTTCATTCAGCTATATTATTCTTGCTTCAAAATAAAATGTTCTTGACTGCATACTCAAGAATGTTTCTGTCTAAATCGAGACACTTTTTTCTCTGATGAAATTCAAAAATTATGTTAAACCTCATCAAATACGGATGCTAGGACTAAGTGATATTTTGGACTATCGCTCTCTTTTTGTGCCGTAGAATCTTGATTTATTTTGCGAGGAAAGCTCCGTGCTCTTGAAGGATACCATGTCATTCTTAAAATGTTGGAGCGCCTTTTGATTTCGTGTGATGCTGTGCAACACCTCTGTTGTAAAACAGTTGCGTGACCCCGCGCCGCGGCGCGGCAATTGCGGGCGGCCAGCGCAAAACGCGCATTGGCGCCTACAAACCTAACAGGATACTTCAAGCATTGCGCAATGCGTGAAGTATCCCCTTAGGTTTGTAGGCGCCAGTGCGCGTCTGCACGTTGTGCGCCGGCACTGCGCCACTCCGCTCTGTGTTTCGCTCTAATATTTAGACTCGCGGAGTCAGCGGTTTGCAACTCATGATTTTGAAATTTTTGCACACTCTGCACAAACTATTCTCATTTAAATAATTGCTGGAAAAAAAATATGTCATAAAGGAAAATATACTGTGTGTTTTGTAAATATTAAGGTTGTTCCGTGTCAAATTTAATAATTTCCAAAGCACTTTAATTTTTTCTCTTATATTTTGTGCTTTTACTGTGCTGAAGTGTTGTGTATGCGCAACCAAACGTTCACAATTTGATGTATTCGTCTCTAATAGATCGATGTGCAAACGAAAAAAAGGCGATTTTTCCGTTAAAAACTGGAAATTGCTATTTTTGAATCTTCTATGTGAAGGAGGGGTATCGATACGAGTTATTTTTGTGCCTCTCCTAGGTGAATATCCTCAACTCTACTACTTATTGACTCAAATGAGCACATTTGAGTCATATTATATGTTTTACGGGGTGCATCATAACCCGGTCGTTTCCTGTCTCCTTTCGGGTTTAATACTGAGTCTACTGCTAAACATGGGTCTGAAGGCTGATTTTAGCGAAAAAATGCGGAGTTTTCTGCATTCAACCGGAAACTAGCAAAACTTTCATTCTTCGCCAAAATCGGCCTTCAGACCCATGCCATGTTTGGGCCAGTATTAGACTCGGAAAGAGACTGAAAATGATTAGGATATTATGCATTCCATAAAATATATAGACCTTTAATTGGACCATAAATTTAATCTGGCAAGTTAATAGTAATTACATGAAAACGACCGTGCGGATTTTTGTGTAAATTCTAGTAAATTTTCTGCACAGTACGAAGCAAATTCCCTTAAATTTTTAAAGGACCCGCACCAAAGTCCTCTTGTGAAAACATGCATTGACCAATCAAATTTAGCAATAGCTGATGTGGCTTGGTATCTTTCTGCATGCTGAACGCGGTCCAATTAGCAAAAAATCATAGAGTTGAGAAAATCCAGGGCGGGCCAAAAGACGGCCCTTATCGCCACCCCTCTTTTTTTCCTTGACTTGAGAAATTTTTTTCACCTTCCGGCCAAAGTATCACAAGTGCCATGCGACTTAAATTAAAAATTTCCGCCGCCCTCACGTGTTTTTATAGAGAAATTGTTGGTCGAATTTGTTTGAAAATTTCACTGAATTTTATCGGCAGCACTCATAAAATTCGGCGAAATTTTCAGACAGCTTCGAAATTTCTCCGTCAGAAAAAAAAATGGCGGCGGAAATTTTTAAACGTCGCATGGCGCTTGTGCTACATTGGCCGGAATGTGACGATTTCTTCGGAATGCACTGGAAAAAAATTCTCGGCGTTTTTACCAAGGTCCGTTGGTACCCTTACCATCTCACTTTTTTAATCAATTATTGGTAATTTTACCAAGACAGACTGGTAAACTTACCGAAAAACCGGTATTTTTACTGTTTTTTTTTTCAGGTGAGAATACCACGTTTATTGGTAATCAATTCCCGATAACTTTGCCATTTTATCTCGGTAATTCTACCATAGTCGATAAGAAATATCGGCGTTTTTACCACACGGAGAAAAAAAATTGCTGATTCAACACTTCAATTGCTAAAAACAGTGAGTGCAATGTTTCAACACAGATTTTACGACAAAAAAATGCTACTTTAACCACATTGTAAACTAATTTAACCACGGGGGTGGTTAAAGTAGCATTTTTTGTTGTAAAATCTGCGTTGAAACATTGCACTCACTGTTTTTAGCAATTGAATTGTTGAATCAGCAATTTTTTTTTCCGTGCAAGGTCCAGTAAAATTACCGAGAAAGTTCAATAATTTTACCGAGATTTCTCGGTAAAATTACCAATTCCATAAATGGTAATTTTACCAAGAAAAAGCTGGGATCAAATAGAACCCTGAATTCTTGGTAATTTTACCCTTTTCTTAGTAAATACACCGATATTTTTTTTCAGTGCGATCACACCTCTTGTTTCACGAAATGCATTAGTGCACATACCAGCGGACACTTGGCCGTCCTGCGGGCTGTCGAGGAAGTCCTTGGGGGGCTCCGGCTCCGGGGGCCGGGAACCGAGGGGGCCCGCGGGCCCGACCTGGACGACGAGGTTGCTGTTCTCCGAGCTGAGGGAGCCGCTCCGGCTGTGCGAGCCGGAGTCCTGGCTCTCGGCCCGTCCTTGCCCGGCACCCTGGCCCTTCTTGTCCCTGTCCCGCACCGAGTAGATGTCCTCGTAGTCGTGATCTCCTCGCTCGCTCCCCTCCGAGCAGGACGTGTTCTCCTCCGAGCCCGCCCCGCTGCTGCTACTGTGCACCTCCACTTTGACTGCAACACGTATTTAAATAGATTTACATTGCAAGAGTATATAGTATACTTGGTTATCTTGTAGTGAGAGAGAATGGAGATGTTGCATGTGTGAGGGATTTGCGATTTGACTGTTGATTCTTATGTATAAGTTCGCAAGAAACACGATGGTGCCACTGGTTTTCTCTGAAATCAACTCCCAAGCTCAAAAAAAGCTCTCAAAGTGAGGCCGAAATGGAGGGGATATCCCACCCTACCCTAAGAGTCCACCTCTACATCAAGACAAACTCTCCATGCAAAGATTGGGAGCAAATACATCAGCAGGGTTGCCGTGTTTTCAGTTTTGGATTCCCCAAATAAAGTGGCAGCCCTGTCAATGTATTTGCTCCCTATCTTTGCATGGAGAGTTTGTCTTGATGTAGAGGTGGACTCTCAGGGTAGGGTGGGATATCCCCTCCATTTTGG